GACCGCGAGTAACTGTACTGTAGGGCAGTGCTGTGACACAAACGATACTGACTAGAGAGGTCGTTCAGGACGTGGAGCGCTTTTTGAAAACGGTTTTTTGCATGATGTGGGGTCACGTGCATGGAGTACCAAACTGGTGTTCATTTTTCCTGAACGCCTCTGGGAATGCCAAAAATGGAGTGAAAAAGAAGTCCATGGAAACCGACTGTTTTTGAGCCTGAATGGGCTCTAAATCACTCGCAACTTCGGCCAGTTGCTGCCTATAGGGTCCTTATAAAGGTTGTACTGGTATCGATGAGAAAAGTAGTCGCCAATGGGGTCTTACTTGTGGCACGTAGTTAAGAGTCGACGGCTAGTTGGAATGGGCTCTTAAGCAATCGAAGTGGTAGCTGTGCCAACGATCGGATGGCCTAGTGGATAGCGTGGAGGATTCTCAAGCAGACAGTGGGGATGGGGATGATGGTTCGACTCCCCTCGGCTTGCACGTTTTTGCATTTTTTATTTTCCGTTGTTGTCGCTTCCATATACGTCTGTTAATGAATTTTACTCGGATATCTGCCATTTATAGGCACATCCTAAATAGTTATACCCCGTAGTCGGTGCTATTCAGCAATTTCGATTTCACATACCATTAAGCAAGAACTTGTCTGAAAGTTGAGCTTTATTCGGTGCCCTGATCACGACTATGGCATTTACTTTCAGCTCTAGTGCCATTTATCTCCAATTTGGAGCCACGTCTTTCTCCCACTGGAGTCGCTATGTACATTCGTTTGAGGGACTTGCAGGGCCATTCTGACGCCAGATTGGGTTGACGTCAAGAATAAGTGTCAGAATCGTGATCAGGACCATCAATTCCTAAGCTCCTAAGCAATCGAAGTGGTAGCTGCGCCAACGATCGGATGGCCTAGTGGATAGGTGTGGACGACATCTTCGTTGAGCGAGCCGTCGCGGGGGTCGACATGTCCAGGATGGTTTTTCACTTGTTCTGCGGCCACCCATGCCCATGCCAAGTATGAATGGACCTTATGAGCACCAAATCCGCGATGCGGCTGCCCGGCGGCCCACCACGTCATCGCTACGTCATCGCAGCTCCAAAGTTGTGGGTCTCCGGTCATCACCGACGACCAAATGGTCGGTCTATCACAACTCAAAAAAGTCAAAAAATTTTTTTGGCCGAAAGTTTGCCTATAGGGGTAATCGATGGTCCTGATCACGATTCTGACACTTTCAACCCAATCTGGCGTCAGAATGGCCCTGCAAGTCCCTCACGAATGTACATAGCGACTCCAGTGGGAGAAAGACGTGGCTCCAAATTGGAGATAAATGGCACTAGAGCTGAAAGTAAATGCCATAGTCGTGATCAGGGCACCGAATAACATATAAAGTTCAACTTTCAGACAAGTTCTTGCTTAATGGTATGTGAAATCGAAATTGCTGAATAGCACCGACTACGGGGTATAACTATTTAGGATGTGCCTATAAATGGCAGATATCCGAGTAAAATTCATTAACAGACGTATATGGAAGCGACAACAACGGAAAATAAAAAATGCAAAAACGTGCAAGCCGAGGGGAGTCGAACCATCATCCCCATCCCCACTGTCTGCTTGAGAATCCTCCACGCTATCCACTAGGCCATCCGATCGTTGGCGCAGCTACCACTTCGCTTAAGAGCCCATTCCAACTAGCCGTCGACTCTTAACTACGTGCCACAAGTAAGACCCCATTGGCGACTACTTTTCTCATCGATACCAGTACAACCTTTATAAGGACCCTATAGGCAGCAACTGGCCGAAGTTGCGAGTGATTTAGAGCCCATTCAGGCTCAAAAACAGTCGGTTTCCATGGACTTCTTTTTCACTCCATTTTTGGCATTCCCAGAGGCGTTCAGGAAAAATGAACACCAGTTTGGTACTCCATGCACGTGACCCCACATCATGCAAAAAACCGTTTTCAAAAAGCGCTCCACGTCCTGAACGACCTCCCTAGTAAGCATCCTGATGACGATCTTAGTTTTGCAAAAGACTGGACCGCGTTCGGAAGTATCTTAACCTACCCGTCGGATCAAACAGTTGAGCTAGAAAGGGGGGGGGGTCATATCAAGGTCTTTTCCGTACTGACAGCGCCATTTCTACATCAGGATAACGTACCCTGCTTCCAAGTGGCTTCGCAGTTCTGCATGGCGCAATTGAAAAGCAATCATTCAAAAGCGGTAATCGAACATTTGTTCTTGTTCCGAATTCGCCGACGACAATGAAAGTTGTTCACAATGTAAAAATGCCAATTAGATCAGGCCGGGGCTGCCCCGTTATGTTTAGCGCGTCGCAGGGCATGACCCCACCCCGTTATTGTGCCCCTATTGCTCCGCCCCCCCCCCTCACCTCTCATCTCATACGCATACCTGTTCCTGAATCTCCCCATTTTCTCGTTATTTTTTTCGAAAACTCTTTTCCTTTTCCCCAAAATCTATTGTCAAGTGAAAGGGGTGAAAGTACAGCGCTTTTAACACAGAAAAATGCAAAAAAAAATCAGCAGTTGAAACCCAAAGGCACGCACCACTCCTCATCCCCCCAACGTACATATGACGTGCACTTGTACACTCTACCCCTATTAGGCATCCTGTGTAAAACCTTGAAAGAAGAATAACTTTCCAGCAGTGGTCTTAGGAATATTTTATTTGTTTTTTTATTTATTTTTAATGTTTTAAGCCACATATTCTACTTTCCATTCTAGATTGAAGCAAACTTTTGAATGCGATCCGTCGTAGTGATTTGCGGGGAACATTCGTTACATACAAGCATTTCGATATTCCCGACCATGCCCTAAGAATGGAACGTTTGATTACCTTGAGCTAGTATAATGCGGGGATCAAACCTCAGACCGTACATGTATCGAACGGCGCCACTTGCCACAACACCATCTCTCTACAATGTTCAGTTTGCTTCGAAAAGGAATTCAATAAACGCTTTGCTAATTTAGGAGCCCTTGAACCACCTCACTACGACGATGATGAAGAGAGTAATGAACACTTTGAACGAGATGTACTGGTCATTACGAACCAATTCCCAAACCAGCTGAACTTTTTCTGCAATCCAAGGTACGTCTTTGGAGTTCACTTCAATTTTTCTTCGATTATGACAATTTTGCTAGATTGCACCACAAAAATTTTCACGAGCAAGGCAAACGTTCTTGAAAATTGACATTTCGCTGAAATTTCGCTGAGCTGTGGAATAAAGAGTCAGAGTCAGGGCAAATCTCGTCCTGAAATACGCATGCGTAAACAGCCGTGAAGGGTCAATGTCGTCGACATTTCAATTTCAATTTTGACGCTCCAGTTTGATCACTCAAATATCAATGAAAGGAGAAATTTCCAAAATGCTAAGAAGACAATCCCCTGTGGCAAGGT